CTGATCAATCCTTCTTTTCTGCTTCAGGTGCCCCTGGGGTATCACACAGAAGAATATTTCTCAGGCCCTGAGCCCAAGGCTATTTTAAGACAATTTCAAGCAGATTTGGACAACCTGGAAAGGGAGATAGTGGCCCGGAATGAGCAGCTAGACATTCCCTATGAATACCTGAAGCCGAGCTGCATAGAGAACAGTGTTGCTATCTGAGCCCCAGTAAATGGCCTTTCATAGACCACAGGCCGATAATAGGGTTAACATTTTCCTTTTGAGTTTTATGTTTTTCTGGATTTGAATTCTGATGGTTCTATTTGCTTTTCTATCTGAGTGTCCTCCCTGAATATATCACTAGCCTGAGGCACTGTGCCATTTCTAAATCATCTAACAGAATGGTCTTTAACTTAAAAACAACATTCCTTATGTAGCTTTCTCCTATCTCTGGAAAATTTGTTCTTTTCTATTTATTATATAATCATTTGGGGATAGATTTATTAATATAGTGTGAGATTAGTATTAAATTCTATTTTCTTTTGAGGAAATCTGTTATACCAGCACAGTTTATTTAAGAGCTCATCCTCTCTCACTGATCTATTATGCTAGTATAAATCACATTGCCATATCTGAATGGGAATATTTTTGAGTTTTTTATTCTATATACTCATTAATATGTTTGTCTTACACTATACCACACTAACATAATTACTACAACTATAAAATTAAAATAACATACTATTTCATAATTTATATTCATTAAATTTGTCTTAGAAATGACAACTTTTTTTTGACTTCTGATCTCTCATGTAAAATTAAAATCAACTTGTTATTCTCCAATAAAGTCTATTATGATCTCTGTGTGTTAATGCACTGCATCTAATGAAGTTTTTAATTTTAAACCAACTTTGCATTTTTGAGATATATCCAGTTTTCCATTTTATATATTGTTAAATTCTGTTATATTTTCACAGGCTTGGGAAGAATCAGGCACCTTTTCTAACTATCCAATCAACTTCCCCATCCTTTCTGGGGTTCTACTGGTTTCCCCCTCTAACCAATCCATTTCCTAGATCCTCTGGGGTTGTGTGTCCGTTATCCAATCCAATCACTTTCCCAAGCTAGGTACCTCCCTTTTATGGTCTCTATCTTAGTTCCCACTAGCTTGACTCATAGTAGAAGCACCACCCATGTGCCATCTTGGCTTCTACTGGACATGCACCCATCAAAGGAATTTCTCCTTTATTGTTTACTAGAGGTCCGGTGCATGAAATTTGTGTCTGGGTGGGATCGCTAGGCTTGGCTGGCGATCAAGGCCAATCAGGGCCTCTGGCTGCTGGCCCGGGCCTTCCTGCTGG